CACCCCCCCCAAAAAAAAATGCTTTCTATCAACGAGCATGCATTGTTTTGTGCACTTATTTACTGATTTTCCTTTCTTTGGTTCCTTTGCATGGATCTTCGCTGAAGAAATTTAACCACATCTGTCTAGTTCTAGACAAAGTGGTGTTAATCCTTATTAAGAAAAAAATAGACAGAGTGGTGTTAATAATTCCCGGTCTTATTTTCCTCGGATCTCACGGACATTTTTTATTCATCTTTTTCAGTTAACGTTGGGTGTACTGGATACCCGATAAGTAACACAGTCAATGAACACCCATCTGCTGCAATTCGCCCCACCAAAAGAGTCCGGGATGCTGAACCCAACTATAGCCAGCAAAAGCTTAAGATATCCTTGAATAACAACTTTTGTCAGAATGAAGTGGATCAAGCTGGAAGCATTTTGAATCCAAATACTGTATCAACTGGACTCAGACTTTCTTACGAGGAAAAAGAACGTAATTCCTCAGTCACGTCTGCTCCTGAGAACATGAAAGCAGCCCTTCCTGCTTTTCTGCGGATTGACAGTGGTTTTAAATGTGAGATTGACAGGCAAAGAGAAGAATTTGATCGGTACATAAAAGTGCAGGTAATGTGATTATTTTTTTTAAGAAGGCGTAATGTAATTATTAACTTTGTCTGAAATTTGGCGTGTTAAATTTTTGATTGATTTACACGAGTGTATGAAAAAAGGAATAGTTTTCTTTACTATCCATTCTAGATATCTATGTCTACCTACTGATCGAGGGTTTTACATGCATCTAGTCATCATTATGTATATTTTGATTTGCCGGGATTTTACTTCTAAAGTTGTTGATCATATGAGTAAGAGCATTTCTATCTATGCATCGCCACATGGTTGGTGTCTCTATTTTGTTTCTGATAATTGGGCAAACATTGATACTTAGGGGCATTAAATAGTGTGAGAAATGACTTGGAGATTGGATATGTCACTAACATATTTTTCTGCGTATAGATTGTATTTTCTGGAGTTTTGGTCCTTTGCCACTACTGATTCATCCTTGGTTTCTCAGGAAGATAATATGATGAAGGGCATGAGGGAGTTGATTCATCGACAGACAGTATCTTTACTGAACTCCTTGCAAAAAGAAGTTAACAAGAGATTGTATGAGAAAGATCTTGAAATAGACAATTTGAATCGCAGGAACAAGGAACTCGGGGAGAGAATAAAGCAGATTACTGTAGAAGCTCAATCATGGCATTACAGAGCAAAGTACAACGAGTCGGTTGCCAATGCCCTGAAAAGCAATATTCAGCAGGCCATGGCCCATGGTTCCATGCAAGTTCAGGAAGGCTGCGGAGATAGTGAAGTAAATGATGCTGCCTCAAGTACAAACCATCTTGGTTTAGCAAGCGGTTCGCAAAACCAAGTATCCCAAATACAGCAGCTAAAATGCAGAGCTTGCAAGAGTAAAGAAGCCAGTGTGTTGTTATTTCCATGCAGACACTTGTGTCTTTGTAAAGAATGCGAAGGGTTTATTAATAGTTGCCCAGTATGCCAGGTAATGAAGACTGCAAGTGTTCAAGTTTACATGTCATGAAGACGTATACGAACACTTGCAATCATCATCATCATCTTTGTGTTAAGGGAGGAATGTTTAATTTAAGAACAGGTTGTAATGTTTATTACAATCATGAATTGTGCATTTCTTAACTATATGAATACAGAACCAGATGAAACGAGGATGGTCTTTTTTTCTGGATTGGGCATTGTTTCTTATGCTTATCGGGGGTGGGGGTGGGGGGTGTAAAAAGCATTATGGACCACTGCACTAAGAGATATGGTAGCTCTGGATATTTGCAAGTTGCAAGTAGCAAGAAAAATGGTAAAAAATGGTCTAGGCAACTAGAAGTTAAACAAGAAGCAAATTTTATACTAAAATAAGTATATGAATATATATCATGAATCTGTCTAGATGCATTCTTCCAAAGTCTCCTAGATCTACATTTACTGTTCCATTTCAGCTGTCATATTAATGACGACTAATTTATTTTGTCTTAAACGCAGAAAAAAGGGAAAAGGAAAAGAAGGATGAAAAGGAGATTAGGAGAAGTGCGTTTTTGCTTTTATAGTGTGATAGGGTCAATTTGTTGCCTAATTGGAGGTTTAGTTTGTGTTAGGAACGTTCTTTGTAGTCATTAAATAGTAGTCGTAGAGACTTTGGTGGGAAATGACTCCTTTGCATATGGTCTTCAAACTAAACATCTTGTGTTGTCCTTTCCTTATAATAGAGCACTGGCAGTGAATGCCTTAACTTTTTATTATATCAAGTTTTTTAAAATACTATTTACTCCCTTTATTCCAGAATGAGTTATCTTTTTCGTCTATCACATAATGCCATCTATATTGAACTTATAAGATCCTTCAAATAAAACACACATAATTCTGTCCTTAGTTTTCTTGTTTAGTTAAATTAAGAAAATTACGCTAGGAGCCTATGATGGAGGAGGGAGTAAGGAGGAATACGAAGCAACAGTATAACAGTTATTTTCCAAAGAATATTGTCTTGGAAATTATAAGGAGCTTCGTACTTCAGGGACATGAATCTTGGACTTGATGATGCAAATAAATAAAAAAAGAATGGTTCCTAAGCGAACCCGTTAGATAAAAAGATAACATTATGTGTGTAATAATGTAATTGTAATTGTAATGGTAATACAGACTTGAAATCGGGTTCTAATGATTCAGGTGCGTTAATAAAATGATTTTGGACTTTCGAGTTGAATTTTGGATATTTCTAGAAGGATTCGACACCATTTATAAGTTAAATATACTCTAAATTTAAGACCTTAAGTTTGATCTTATGTGATTTTCTTAAACCTATGTATTATAGCCTAGCAACACATACTTCTATTGTCTGTTCGGTATTTATTTCTTTTTTATTTTTAACCAATCAGAATCGTTCCAGGTTGGTGCGAAAATGATTTACCACAAATTTGTCCAGGGTCCATCTCCATCCCCAACCACCTTTTGGGTTCACCAACCCAACCCACAATTCAAAATATCATAGAAAAAGCAACCCCAAAAAGTTACCGAAAATACCCAGAATATCCCCCTTAAATTTCTGAACTCTCTGATTTTGGCTCTCTGTTTGCACTTCACTTCTCACGCCTCGACGGAGCCCCCAACGTCTCCTCACACTTCCCCTCTTTCTATCTTAGAATATATATTCATCTCTCTCTCGTCTTCTTATCTTCTCATTCTCTCTCTCTGCTGCAGTTTAGTTTCCCTGATCTGATTCGCCAAAATGCAGAGCACGGCAATCTCGTTTTCTCCGTCGATTTCACTTCCTAAGAAGCCTCACAACCCTTCTAGTTCAGCTTCGTTGTTCAGATTCAATCCTTTATCTGCTCAGTCTTCTCGACCGACGCTTCGTTTTGGCTGTCTAAATGGCTCCGTAGCTCGGAAAATCAATCCTATTCGTTGCTCAGCTGATTCGTTGAATCGTAATGGATGGATTTCGGTTCCGCCGCCGGCTCCCGAGCGTGAATCGGACGGAGTGGAGGTTCGGGCCACATCCGTGCCCGAGAGTGCTGGAGAGGCCCCTAAATCCAAGCCTTTGACGGATACTTTGGTGCTCGGATCGCTTTTCGGCCTTTGGTATCTATTTAACATTTACTTCAACATTTACAACAAACAGGTGTGCTTTACTTCCGCTGATCCGAGGTCCTAGTTGCTTATTCTATTTGTTTATACGTGTATTGCTTCATTTCTTGTGGTTGATAGTGTTTTTTTTTGTATGTATAAATGCATGCATGTATTGTAATTTATGAGGTTCTTCAAGGCATATATCGTTCAGATTTTTCAGACTATAGATTTAAACTTCGTCAGATGTTAATATATTTTTTTTTTAATTTTTGGAATTATCTATTCGCTGAGTATGTATGTTTGCAATTTGAGCCATTTTCAACCTACATTTATAGTATATAGTTTGCAACTTAATTGAAGTGAGTTTGGATCCCTCACTAAATAGAAATGTTACCTTTTGTGTTTCCAAACATGGCCAAGGTGTGTCATTAATTAAGATTCGTATATTCTGTAGGTCCTGAAAGCGTTCCATTACCCAGTTACAGTGACTCTCGTGCAATTTGCCGTTGGCAGTGTCCTTGTAATTCTAATGTGGACTCTCAATCTATATAAAAGGCCAAAAATCAGTGGTGCACAGGTAACTTCATTGAGACGGATTTACTATGCTTTGGTTTAGACCTGATTATGTGCACAAGTTCTGATTCTATATTTTCAATTGGCAGCTTGTTGCAATTTTGCCGTTGGCAGTGGTGCATACCTTGGGCAACCTTTTCACCAACATGAGTCTTGGAAAAGTTGCTGTATCATTCACTCACACTATTAAAGCTATGGAGCCATTCTTCTCCGTTGTTCTCTCTGCTATGTTCTTGGGCGAGGTGCGGTTTAGATGATTACTTTTACATTTCTATATAAAGCTCTTGCATTCATCTTGTGATAAGGCGAATACAACTATTTTCAATCTCTTCCATTTATTTTCATCTTAATTCAGATCATATTTAAGCTTCCAGTACTTGAAAAGAAAAGATATTCACTTCCATGTAGTTCTTTGTCTTCTGATCTATGTTATTATAGTTAGTGACATTGGATGTGTCTTGTTCATGCAGTTCCCTACCATATGGGTTATGTCTTCTCTTGTACCAATTGTTGGTGGAGTGGCACTGGCATCGTTGACCGAGGCCTCTTTTAATTGGTGGGGAATTCAAATATTCTATGTTAAATAATGCCATATGATTTTGTTGCTTTCTTGGTATAGAAATGGGAGACGCTTTTGATAAAAGTTTTATTTCAAATTTTAATTTACAGTTCTTGTTTTGTCGATTACCAGGGCTGGATTTTGGAGCGCAATGGCCTCTAATTTAACCAATCAATCTCGTAATGTCCTCAGCAAGAAGTTTATGGTTCGGAAGGAGGTAATTATATTTTTTTCAGGCTATTAGCTGAGGGTATGATGAAAATGTGCACCCATAGTTGAATGGTTCTTTGGTTGATGTTTCAAGCTTATATTAAATGGTATTTGTGAGAGCAAATTGTTTGTGTGGTGTTCAATAGCTCTTTTCCATTTCTCATCAAGTAGCTAGCTTGTTTCTAGATTAACCTTATTGCCTTTACTAGACAAAACCCAAGTTATGTCTCTTGTGTGTTTTTTGTTGGTTTCTGAAATGCTGTGAAGTTTACAGTTGTAATTTTTTAACAGGACTCATTGGATAATATTACTCTCTTTTCAATAATCACAATCATGTCCTTTTTCTTGCTGGCCCCGTACGCCTTTTTCGCGGAAGGTGTCAAGTTCACCCCAGCATACCTGGAAGCTGCAGTAAGTGATACTTACATATAGTGGAAATTTATACTGGTTCTACCCCTTTGCTTAAATAGAACATCTGGGTGTTTTTTCATTGTTCCCTTGTAGAACTTGCCGCAACTATCTGAAATAACTTTCATGATTTTCCTTTGGTGCTAGGGAGTGAATGTCAACCAGCTGTACACAAGGTCTCTCATTGCTGCTCTCTGCTTCCATGCTTATCAGCAGGTATAAGGGTTCTTCCTTGTATATCTCATTGATTCATTGGAGTCCTATAACATGATTCTTCTTAAATTCTAGCCTGCCTCATAGTGAGAAAGCACAAAATTTATGTTGCTACAATAATGAACAAACAAGGTCACATGAGATCTGATTATTCATTGTTGGTCCACTGAGTTTCGAACTGTGCACCCATTGGCCCTCGGGGTTTTCTCAGGAGTAAAAAAATTTGGTGTATCTGTAGTTTGGTTTTGTGCTGGTGTGTTGTTAGCAATTTGTGGTTGTTGGATCATGGATATTCCCTTGTTCTAGTAAAGGATATGTACTTTGCTTTTCCTGCCATGTATTTTTGACAGTATTGAACATGCGGCAAGCTCAGATTCCTATTAACTGTAAACCAATTTGAAAGACATGGCTCTTCCTTGCTATCTCCTGAAGTACAGTTGTGTCCTGCCTGCCTTATTTAGATGCTTGAGCTTGTCTAGAAAGATAGATGAGGTTTTTGCTGCTTTTCACCCTGGAGCAGTCAGTTTGACAAAATTGAAGATGTAGATGAGGGGAAATGCTTTAAATTGCATGCCTTTTAAAATGTCAGGAAGACTCAGAAATTATGAAAACAGACTGGTGGCAATTTCTAATTTTGGCTATGATCAATGGCCATTTTAAGGTAGAACGGGCTAAAAATTTCTTGTACAGTTTACTCATGGCTGTGTGACTGACTGCTGCAATTATGCAGCTCTTGGTTTGATAAAGTAGAATTCTTTGTTTTATGTAATTTCATAAACCAATGTGACAATTCTTAGACAAGAGGGTTTGCTCTGATGGTAAGCAACCTCCATTTCCAACCAAGAGGTTGTGAGTTTGAGTCTCCCCAAGAGCAAGTTGGGAAGTTCTTGGAGGGAAGGATGCCAGGGGTCTATTTGGAAACAGCTTCTCTACCCCTGAGTAGGGGTAAGGTCTGCGTACACACTACCCTCTCCAAACCCCACTAAGTGGGATTATACTGAGTTGTTGTGGTTGTTAAAGTGACAATTCTTCATGAATTACTGAAAATGTGTCACTTTCATTTGCGACGACAGCTGGTTATGTTATTTCTTGCTGACACTCAAGTATTGGTGCAGGTTTCTTACATGATATTGCAAAGGGTATCTCCTGTTACTCATTCTGTGGGTAACTGTGTGAAGCGAGTGGTGGTTATTGTGACTTCCGTGCTCTTCTTCCGCACACCTGTTTCTCCCATTAACGGTTTGGGTATGACACTAGACTTTATACTTGTCAACATATAGCTGATTGAGAAGGAAACCCCTTTTCCCCTTCCAATCCTTCCAGATGGCAGCTCGAGTGAACAAATGTGGAATACAAAAAGTTAGAAGTTGCCTTTTTTATTTACAATAAGGTAATCATTTCTTCATTTTCTATGTAGGCACTGGAGTGGCCCTTGCTGGAGTTTTCCTATATTCAAGGGTGAAGCGCATTAAACCTAAGGCAAAAACGGAATGAAGTCTAGATCAATTTTGATGGTAAATTGTGATCATTAGATGGATGATTTCTAGGCAGGGTCTTCTTTTAGTTTGTTGTGCCATGTGGGACGAGTTATTCTTTTCTGATGCAGCCTTGACTAATTGCTGCTAATTTGACGATTTCACTGCATCACTATTGTCTTTCTTCTGTAGGGTGTTATATGTTTCGTAATGTACGGCATGCTTAGGACCCAAGTACCTTCAGCCGTTCAGCGGGCGCTGAAAACATCGAAGAGTTGGGGAGAGTTTGTCATATTTGATTACATCATACCATTGCTTTCAAAATATTTTTCTCCCTCGAAGGGGTCTCTCTAAGGGGTCGTTTGGTATAAGGTATAAGAAGGTATAACGGTGGTATAAAAATTTAATACCACCTTAATACTCTCTTTGGTTAGCAAACCATGTATAAGTTATTCCGGTGTTAGTTTTAACATTGGGATAACTTATATACCTTATAGAAGGTGGAGTAATTAGTATCGCTATAATTTATACCTTCTTAGAAATTATGCAATTGAATTACCCCGATATAACTTATACCTTCTTAGAAATTATGCATTTGTTATTCTTAATACAACATATCAAACAATGAATAAACAACAATCCCAGTATAATTTATCCCAATATAACTTATACTGGCATAACTTACACCGGTATAAATTGTATTCCAACCAAACGGCCCCTAAGTAGATACCGGAAACCTACATTCCGTTGCGATAAGTATGTGTTATTTTGTAGAAGAGCAGAAATTATAATGCATCAATTTACCTATATCCATATATCCAATTAAAGTAAAAAGAGACGAGGAGGAGTTGCACATGCTTGTAGTTAAGGAAAATAGCAATTACCTTAAGAACGCTGGAAAACTCCCTGGTCAAAATAATAAATAAATGAATAAATATAGAGAAAAAGGGCAGGGAAGTCGAAGGTCTACCAATACTGTGCTGAGCCCATGAATGAAATCACTAGGGGCCCAATAAGATTTTGTACAACTGGGCCATTCAATTGATTCAAAATGATCGAGAACGAAATGAATCACTGTACTCAATGGCCCATATACCTTTGCAATATATTTCAGATCAGTCCTGTTAAGATTAATTATGTAAATTAGTAGGAGCTTTACTTAGCTTAGTTCTAAGTTGGTTAGCATAGCAGTGAACTGGCAGTTGTAGCCAACTCACTTGTTAGTTAGTCGGTTATGTTTAGCTTTTGGCTTTGCTCTCTTTCAATTTCATTTTGTATATAGTGGGTTCTCCACTTAGAATTCAATCAGAGAATTAGAATTCTAGAAGATTCATTTCTCTCCTTCTTCCTTCCTCTCTCCATTCCTTCTCTCATGGCGAAGAGGTGAAGCACTCACCACCGTTGAAGTTGAGCTAAAGCTCGAACGATTGTTTCATTGACAAATCTGATATGGTATCAGAACCTATCAAGGTTTTGACTCGTTTCTCTGATTCTGTTAGATCTCGATCTATTATCCTGTAATTCGATTAGATCGTACTCATGCAAGTTTCGTGTTTCATCGATCTCGAGTCATAATTTTGGAAAAGTTGTACTCTGTTCACTGTTAGCCTCTTAGATCTGTAATCACTATCTTCTATTCTTCAATTACTTAGAAATATCATACTTAGCGAGATGGCTATCGTCGAAGATGATGAACAGTCTACGTCATCCATGGCTGAATCTCCTAATCAGCCAGTTGTTGATACCAGTAGCCCATTTTAATGCATCCGTCTGATAATTCCGGAGCAACATTGGTTCCTGTTCCATTTGATGGTTTTGGATACCGTTCACGGAGAAGAAGTGTAATGCGGAACTCTATCGGTGAAAAATAAGCTAGGATTCATCAACGAGGAATGCAAAAGATGAGATCCAGACTCATCGAAGTATCGATTGTGGAAAAGGTGTGATGACATGGTAACTTCATGGATCCTAAACTCTCTAGCTAAGGAAATTACATACAGTGTTGAGTATGTGACATATGCAGTTGAATTGTGGAGAGAACTTGAAGATCACTATGATCAAACCAATGTAACAAAACTGTACTAAATTCAAAAGAAAATCAATGATCTGTCCCAAGGAACTCTTAACATCACTGTTTACTACACTAAGATGAAGAAGTTATGGGAGGAACTCAACACTCTAATTTTTCAAATCTCATTGTATTTGCAATTGTATGTGTGGAGCCAAGGAAAGTATGCACAAAACTGAACAAGATGGGAGGTTAATATAGTTTCTCATGGGACTGAATGAGACATACACTGTAGTCCGAGATCCTCTTCCCTCAATTGCTCAGGCCTTTTCACTACTAATCCAAGAGGAAAGACAGAGAGAAATCAAGCCAAACAATCATCTGGCTCTTGAACCATCAGCCTTGAATGCTAGCAAAAGTAGACCAGGGTCCTTTGGGATTAATTACTCTCCTAACAACAATCACAACAGTAGAAACATACCATTTTGTGATCATTGCAAGAGACCAGGACACACTAAAGAGAGATGTTATAAGCTTCATGGATATCCATAGAGTTTTAGTCAAAATCAGAATCCAAACACAAGTCACAATCAGGTTTCCAACTACAATCAAAATCCAAGAGAAAACTTTAACTATGGACATAATCCCAATGGTAACCAGAACACTAAGTTGAGAGGAAATAGAGCAGTGGCTAATGCATATGTGACAGCCGCAGATGCACAACCTGCTGACGGTGAGAAATTTGTTGTTCATGATAATGCTCAAAGTGTGAGCCTCACCAAAGAGGAATATGGTCAGCTAGTGAGTCTGTTGCAGCCGTTCCAATCAGGGGGAGGAAGAGATTGCACAAACAGTGCTAACATTCCAACTGGAGCAGCAAACTTTGCAAGTATTATAGCCTGCACTTCCTCTATTGACTTTGGTAAGTTGTCATGTGAATGATTCAAAAATAAGACTGACTCATGAATTATAGATTCAGGGACATCAAACAATATGACATTTAACAGATCCCTATTAACCAACATAATAACCTTACCCTATCCTTTGTTAGTTATACTTTCAAATGGCTACAAAGTAAAGGTGACAGAGATTGGTAGTGTGACACTCACTCCTAAGATCGCTTTAGACAAGGTGATGTTTGTTCCTTCCTTTAGATACAATTTGATCTCTGTTCATTCTTTGGCCTCTCATCTCAACTACCTTTTTGCCTTTGCTTAACACTGTTGCATACTACAGGCCCCTTCAATGAAGAGGCCTCTGGTGATTTGTAGGGCCAAGGATGGGCTATACATCATGTGTCCAAGCTTCTTGAGGAGCAACAGTGCAAGCCCTGCAGCAAAGACCTCTGATATCTTACCAACTACTTTTACTTGTTGCACTTGTAACATATAATCTCCTTCTCATTCTGTTGTAAATAAGCCATTACATGTCAATAAGTGTGTTTCCTTTCATCCAGTTGTAAATAGTCCATGCGCAAGTAATGAAGGACGAGTTTCTCTTATAAATCCATCTTCTGAAGCTTCTAATGCATCCTGTCATTTGTGTACTGGAGATAATATGTATGTGTTATGGCATAACAGACTTGGACATGTTACTTTTATCAAAATGAAGAATATTTCTTCCATTCCTATAACCTTCTCTCCCAAATAACTGTTCAACTGTACCATTTGCCCCGTGGCTAGACAAGAAAGACTCCCATTTCCTCATAGAACTAGTACAACTAGCAGAATTTTTGAACTATTACATGTTGACCTATGGGGCCCATATCATGTTCCTGCACTTGACAGATACAAATACTTTATGATCATGGTGGATGATTTCAGTAGGTCTACCTGGACTCTACAAAAGCAATGCCCTCTAAGTGCTCAAAAGTTTTATTAATCTGGTGGAAAACCAATTTGCTGTGATTGTCAAGTCCATAAGGTCAAATAATAGTTTAGAATTCACCAACACAGAAGCAAGTGTGTTGTTCCAATCTAAAGGTATTATCCCCCAAAAACTTTCCCCTATACACCACAACAGAATAGAGTGGTGGAAAGAAAACATAAGTATCTTCTTGAAACAACTAGATCACTTCTCTTCCAATCCAAATTGCCACTAAAATACTGGGGTGAGTTTGTTCTTTATGCCACCTATATTATAACAGATTGCCTTCTTCCTCTATAAAAAAACCAGACTCCATATGAGCTTTTGATCCTGTATGGCAAGTTGCAATGACATAAGAGTTTGAAGCATTATATTCCAACCACACCTGGGACCTAGTGCCTTTACTACCTGGGAAGCAGGCAATAGGCTGCTAATGGGTCTACAAGGTGAAGCATAAAGCTGATGACAGTATTGAAAGGTTTAAAGCTAGACTAGTTGTCAAAGGCTACACTCAGCAGGTAGGAATTGATTACACAAACATTTTCACCAGTGGTGAAAATGACAATATTGAGAGCATTGATAACCATAACAATTAAGAAGGGTTGGGCATATCTCAGCTAGATGTGAATAGTGCTTTCCTTCAAGGGGATATTAATGAGTAAGTGTATATGCAAATCCCACTTGGACTTGTTATGGATAAACCAGGACTGGTTTGTAAGCTAAATAAATCTCTCTATGGTTTAAAACAAGCTAGCCGACAGTGGTATGCAAAGTTGACTGAAGTATTGTGTTCAAAGGGTTATACACATTCCATGAATGACTACTCACTCTTCTACAAAATGAATGAAGAGTCCTCACTATATGTGGATGATGTGTTGCTTACTAGGACTGAGCAACAGGCAATTGCACAACTCAAAGCGTTTCTATATGAACAATTCAAGAATCAAAGGCCTGGGCCAATTGCATTATTTTTTGGGGTTGGAAGTCATGTACAAAGATGATGGTGCCATCATATCCCAAAGGAAGTTTGTGCTGGACTTGTTGAAAGAATACAATTGCTTGGATAACACTTCTTGTTCCTCACCCTTAGATCCCACTATTAAGCTAAAAGCTAGGGAGGGCACCATTCTTCAGGATCCTACTTATTATAAAAAGCTGGTAAGTAAGTTGAATTTCCTAACTAATACAAGGTTGGATATTGCATACATTGTTCAACACTTGAGCCAGTTTATGCAAGAGCCCGGAGAGCCTCATTTGAAGACAGCATTTCACCTGCTCAGATACCTGAAAAATGATCCTACTCTAGGGATTTTCATGTCAAAGATGCAGATCACACGCTTAGAACTTACTGTGATTCCGATTGGGCAGCTTTCCCAAAATCCAGGAGATCCATTACAAGTTATTTGGTGCTTCCAGACAACACCCCATCAACTGAAAGTCTAAGAAACAAAA